TATATATATATATATATATATATATATATATATATATATATATATATATATATATATATATATATATATATATATATATATATATATATATATGGTCTGCCATAAATGTTTTGTGAAAATATCTGACATTTCTGCGCAACTTTCCCAAAGTAAAAACATTTCCTACGCAAAATAAAACTTTTCAGATCTGGCTGCTGGTATGATAAGATAATTTGCAAGCAATGATCTACTGTATATCTTTTTTTGTTTTAGGGAGTGCTCAGAAATGCAATGTTTGTGCATACCGGACAACACAGCCAAAAGAACAACAAAAATGTACTAGTGCCACAGTGACATGCCCATCCGGTACTTCGTATTGTTTCACATCATCTGTTACCTTCCAAAATGACACAATAGCTGTCGAAAGAAACTGTGGCAATGCCGATATTTGCAGTGATAATGCGTGTGGCCGTTTAAGCGCAGCATGGAATCTGAAATCGTGTGCTATTTCATGTTATAATACCAACAGTGCAACTGGTGTCATGGTGACCAAATTTACTCTTTCCTTGATGGTGATTGTTGGTTTGATTTTTGCTTGACTTGATGTACTTTGCGTTCTGACTATGTACGTAGTTTTACTTAAATTTACTTCATTCAATTGTCGTAATTTGTTTGAATGTGTTGAAAATAAAGTTGTTTAACATGTAGCGTTATTAGTTTGAGTTAATTTATATAGTATAGGTGACCATGTAATACGTTCGAGATTGTAATAATAATTGTATTGACGTGCTACGGTTTCTCCAGAGTTCACTCGACCCAGTCTTTCGCGCGAGTTACGTATTATCGAGATCTGATTTTGTGTCCGTCTGTAAAAGAGTTTGTCGTAATTCCGGATCTGGGGGAATAATTAAGCTTCAGGAAGTTTGTTTTAACGAGGGGGGCGCTCAAACTTTATTTTGTATTGTGCACGCATGATTCTTCTTAGGATTTCAGTTCTAATACGAGCTTATGTGTTGGATTTTCACGACGTAAACGACCGACATTCGAAAATATTTTGAATAAATCAGGTAAGAATGGCTTTATTTTTTTGGGTGATATACATGAAGGCATTTATATTTAGATCTGCTGTTTAGCGTTCGATATACAGGGTGTATAAAAAAACTGAACAGATTTGAAATTGCTTTCAATTTCGCAAATCAGCTCGTCGTATCACGTTTTTGTTACATATATAGATTCCTTGAGTACCCATAATGTAGAATAATGAAAACAATAGGGTTGCTAGGTGGTCTGAGCCCGAAAGAGCCAAATGATCCGTAAAAAGTAGCCAATCCAGCCAAAAGAAGCCAAAATCGAAATTTAGATCGGGGACTGGGGTTAACCTAATCATTAACAATTATTGGATGAGATTTTTGTGATATGCGGAATTATCAAGGTTAAGATAATAACGATAACGCTTACCGATACCTTGATAATTTTGCATATCGCAAAAACCGAATTCAAAAATTGTTTTATTATACATTTGTTTGTGTTAAATAGATACCGCTTGCTAATCATCGCAGGCTTATTTGCAGATGACTCAGTTATCTGCTAGTAGATAACTGAATTTTCTGTCGGTTGCGTGATTGCACGATTTAACTGTAAGCTCTTAGCCAATCAAATTGCTTTTACCAACTACAATGTATAATAATACGAATTATATACCCATAAAAACAATCGCTATTAAATGCATTTATATTTGACATAGTGACTAAGAATTCCAACTCAAAGTCAAACTTTATTTAGTTATCAACTGTAGCAGTAAAGACGTAGACAGTTCTTTAATTAACTTTATATTTCTGGGGCCGGTTGTTCAAAAGCTGCTTAACTTTAACCCAGGGTTAGCGCTAACCCTGGGTTAAAATCCTTAACCCAGGGTTAGTTAACCCAGAGTTAAAACTGCGTTGTTCAAAGCTAGGTTATAGAGGTGCGGTTAGTTAACCCAGGGTTAAGACGTTTAACCCAAGGTTAAATTTGTTTTAAAATTAAATGTAATATAAGAACGTTTTTGATTGGCTGGTCCCGTGTCAAACTAGGGATAGAATGGGATAGATGGGAGAAATATTGTTTAACTAGGCAACTGAAATTGAACATTTCAGACGTGGATTTAAGCATTTTGAAAGTTTCAAGAAAATATATAAATTTAAATAAATCTATTTTGGAATTTTAGGCAGTGCTTGAATAATTAAATTTGAGAACAAAATCCCAGCCAATCAAATGGACTTCGAATTATTTTGGAGTTGAAAAGAATTTTTCAATTAACGCATGCGTGTTTATTCTATAAAACGGAACATGAAAACAAGAAAGAAGCAGCGAAGTTGTTTCACAGCTTTCAAAAACAGTGTTTTTACTACTAGGTAATCCCCGAGCCGACGGCGCGAAGCGCCGTGCGAGGGTACTAATTCCCCCCCGACTATTTACACCCGGGGAAACGAAAGCATTAGCGAAGTCTAAAGTTCATCAAATATCGCGGGCGTGGCTCACCAACGATGTTTCGGTGGGTGGTCATCCTCACTGATCTCAAATATGTGGCTGACTGTCATGAATAGCGAACACTGATTGGTCCAATTTAAAGTTTGCATTATAACGACTGCATGACGACAGCGAAATAGCAAACATTTCTTGATTTGATGATTGATAAGTTTCTTGCAAATATATTTCATTTTTGCTCGCATTTTTGCAAGAATTTGTAAATTTCAAAAGCTCTCTCAGAAAGAAACTCCGAAAGAATCGGCCAAAAGAAGGGAGCCGTCGTTAACGAAGGTAAGTTTGTTTTAAATATTGATTTTATAATGGATTTAAAACCCGACAGCCTTTGCGTATATGAAACAACTAAACAAGACAGTATATAATTTCAGTGTATCTTTAAAGGTGATCTACAGTCCGTATGTAAACAAAGCCTTTGTTTACATTTTTGTGTCCAAAATATTGAGCTTTATTCGACAACTATTTATATTTTCAAGCTTCTAGAGTATAATAAATGATCAAGAAACAACAATCAGGCTTTTCAAGAACTCAAAACATAGTTAAACTGTTTGTATCATAAAAAGTAGGCTCATTTGTGCACATGCGCAGATCGGACTGTAGATCACCTTTAATATTGATTCCCTTTTTTATTATATTGAATTTTTTAAATAAAAAAGAAAGCAAAGTTATTTGCATGCGAGAATTTGAAATCATTTTATTGCAAACTCAAAGTTTATCGATAAAGCCATTTAATTAATAAACGCAGTTTAGTTAGTTTTATAAAGAACA